GGGTAATGGGTTAAAACTTAAACAGAGGAAGCTTAGATTGGATATAAGGAGGAAGTTCTTTACTGTGAGGGTGATGAGGCACTGGAATGGGCTGCCCAGGGAAGCTGTGAATGCTCCACCCCTGGCAGTGTTCAAGGCCAGGTTGGACAGAGCCTTGGGTGATATGGTTTAGTGTGAGGTGTTCCTGCCCATGGCAGGGGGTTTGGAACTAGATGATCTTAAGGTCCTTTCCAACCCTAACCTATGATACTATGGTTCTAACCTCAGAGAACAAATCCTAATGAAGAGGGAGTGGAATAACACTGCTAACTTTTTTTAACTGTTATTTATCAGACAGGCCACGCGTCTATTCGAAATTAATGACAACGTTAGTCAAAAAAATCTCAAATCCACTGAAGTCAATAGAAAATAGGATCTGGCACTGAAATGCCTACTGAGTCTGATTTCATGTCTGACTGAGAAGGCTGATTTGGGATTTGAAAGGATAGCCCATACAAAACAGGGTAGCCCAAATGTTGCGTTAAAATACAGAATCATTTTTTCCTCCCTGTTCCCACTCTTGCAAGACATTGGTGGGTGGGGTAAATGATGTATGGCTCTTTCCTCCCTGGGATGCCTCTGCTGCTGGCTGGCGGCACCACAGCGCTCCTTGGAGCAAGAGGAATTATTTTCGTAACATCTGCCTACGTGAGGGTCCTGGAATTTGCATCTTCCCTGAGCCTGCTTTAGCTCACCTCCCTGCCTTCTTGGCATTCCCCTCTCATCCAGCAGATAAGAGCACATTTCCAGAACCAGTTTTGCAATTACCCATCTTCTCAGTTTTCTTTCCTGACCTTTAAAGGGGATGCACCGAACAAATGCCTTTGTAGGAGAGCCAGACTTCCTGCTGGGTGGCTATTTCAAAGGAGCAAATATGATCTTTTCATAAATACCATGTCAGGCCCATGTAACTTGCAACTTATTTATTACAGTCCTAATGCACACCGTGGAAGCCAGGGCTAGTGTTGCAGAAGAACATCTATCTAAAGCATTTCAGAACTGTGAAGCAAGGTAGACAGCTAAATTTTTGTGCAAGCTGCTTAGCAGCTGTTGAATTTAGCTTTTACCTGAGTTTTGTGAAGCATTTAAAACTATTCAGAGTTTAGAAGGAAATGATAAAAGTATTGCAGCCTGTGAATTATTTGTGAAGCATCTGGTCTTGGCATTCAAAACCCAAACTGGTCACACAAGTACATGGACAGAAAACTCTCCAATGACACTGAGTGTAACAGTTTGCCCCCACTGACCAAATATTTCAAGCCTCCTTCAAAGCCTTTTGGGGTTCACATGTCCCTAAAGGTCTCACCTGAACTGGACAGAAAAAAGCATTAGTTGAAAGCTTACCCACCTTTCCCATACTTCTCTGGCTGTTATGAAATCCTCAGGGGGCTAAAAATAGCCCCTTTTCTTTCTTTGGTGTGCGGTGTGTATCGGCTCCACACTTCAGTCACCAAACCTGGCCAGTGCGAGGCCAAAAAAAGCCACTTGTTTTACTGAGCAGCTTGGCATGGACCTGGGGTGCCCTTACCCAGGTGGCGATCAAAAAGTAGTATTTGTTGGGAAGCACAGCAGGATCACAAACATTACAGCTTCGGTTGACCCCTTTATTTCCCAAATACAGCAGTGTAAGGGAGAATTATGCCCAGTGTGGAAGAGCCATGAATTCAGAGCATCACACCCCAAAGCTGGCTTCCCTGTTATACATGTATAGCATAAATAGCTAAATCTTCCTCTGCTCATCTGTCTCTCTCTGGTGCTCATGTGTGTGGTAGATTGCGAATCTTGAGGAGGTGGTGGGTCCCTGTGCTTCAATGCAGTTGTGTACATTTTGCTCGTAGTTTCTGTGATGAAAACTTATCACGTAGCTTTAACAGATTAGGGCCAAGTAATTTATACTTAGTGGAAGCAAAGAAACCAGTTCAGCATTTTTTCAGTTGCATTGTGTGCCCCTTGGCATCTTTACAGGGCTGGATACTTCTTAAATACGTGGCTCTAAGACCTTTGGTGGAAGCAACAGAAAATCTTGCTATTTGTCCTTAAAATGAGAGAATGACCAAGGTCCTTTCTGCCTGCTGTCATCCCATTCAAAACTGATAGCGTTTGCTACATCCTGAGACAATAGCGAAAGTATAAGGATAAAATAGTTAACAAGCAAACTGCATATCACTTGCTCCACTCTGTACTTCATGGATAAACGTGCACAGACAGATCTTAGCCTAAAAAGTTCTGATGTAACACACACCACCACTGAGGCTGAAAACGCTTCTGTACTCTTCATCTCACTGAGACACTGTAGGTGCTGGCATTTGATGCTTAGCTTTCACTTTCAAATCTGAATTTCATAATTAGTAGCCAAACTCCTCCGTTATTCTGGTTTGATTTAAGCATAAATTCTCTTTGGCGGTGGAAGTGTTTTAAAAGCACCAAATCCTCCAAGATGTTTCACGGGGCTGGAAAGCCAGTTTGCTTGAGAGCAAGTATAATAAAACTGTGAATAACCACCTTTTCCTGCAATTTTCAGAAGGACAGAATATATTAGAACCACAAAAAGGATGTTACAGAGTCAGCAGAGCCAAAGTCATACAGAGTTTAACCTTCACTGAGCCATTCCTTCTTTTCTCTGGCAAGAAAAGTATTTTGTGGCTCTATATTGACCTTCCCACGAATAATCCCAAAGTTGTACTATCTGCTGAGCCTGGGGGTAACTCCATTAGTACTCACCACATCTTATTTGAATTCCACATACAGTCTGGTGTTTAAATTACAGGAAGACTTTGTGTTTAAGAGTTTCCGCATCATGCTGAGGCTTGGGAAAAAAAGCCCAGTTTGACACATAATAGGGATTGATGTGCTACTTCAAATGCTGGTGTTACTGGAAAGGAAGGAACTTCCACAGGAAGAGCAAGGGAAATTATACAGGAATCAATAAAGGATGCTAAAAATAGGGTTTGACTTATCTTCCATGTGAGTCAAAATACCCTGCTCAAGGGCTGCACATGCTATATCTTGGCTGGTATATTCAGACTGCTTTTACTGGTGTACAGGCTGTCAGGATTTCCTCATAAGTCAATGGAGAGTGGCAAGTGTCCCTAGAGGACAGTTCATCCCACCTACCTAAGGACTTGCCAGCAAAAAAAACAGTGTGGTAGAACCTGCTGTTTCCCTAATTGCCATCAGCTTTACATGTTTAAAGTCAAGCATGTGCTTAATTACTTTCCCCTTGGAGAGCTGAGTGCCTGGTAGGATTGAACTGCTAGCTTAGAGGAAAACAAAGCAAATATTCTGGATGAACCTGATGAACAAAACTGGGGAAAGAGGAGAGCTTGCCTGCAAGGATGACTAAGTTGCAGGCTCAGAAGAGTAATAGGTCCTAGGAGAGGGAATATGATTAGTCAGGCAATTTACAGGTAATATGCTTTCATCATTTTCTACTTAGCATTAATTTTCTAAAACATCAGGAAGGAGCTTGTTCAGGGAGGAGGAGGGAGGCAGTGGACAGGGCTGGGCTGGTGTGGGGTTGCCGTGCTGCGCAGGGCAGGGAGCAGAGCTGTGGTCCATGAGCCCCATGCTGGCTGTGCTTTTGCTTAGGAAGAAGGTCTCTGAGTTACTCCCTCTCTCCATCCATGAGGCCCCTCTGTCCGCATCAGCACAGTGTGGTCGAGCTTGTGATGTTTGTGTCTGGGGAAAAGGGAACCATCACACCCACAGCCACAGACACACATTAGAAAAGACTTTTCCACACATTGGAAAAGACTCCATCCTTTGGGATTCAAAGCAGGAGCTTCAGCTCAGAAGTTTACAGGCATTTTGACTGAGCAAAGTGGAAGTACAACTGAGCAGCATGAGTTTGGAGATGTTGCTGTTAACTAAGGTGCTAACAAACAGTGGAGCATGTGGCAGGGAAAATGATGGGTGTACAGCAAATTTTTTGGTGCAGGAAGGGTGTCACTCAGCTTTCTTCACATTAATCTCTCTACACTGTAGTTGTTGTTATACCTGACCAGTTAACTGATCAGGTCTATCAATTAGGTGTGTTTTAAGCCCATATTTACATGAGCACTCTTAAAGAACAATGGATTATGATTGCAAAATACTTTAGCACCTAAGGTCCTTCTGCAAAATGTGAGAAAAGGTGGTTTGGGCACAATTAAGAAGATTTTTGTTTCTTAGACACTATTAAAGCCTATTAAACAAACTCCTCAGGGCTTTCTACACTCCTTAATGGGGATTGTGTGACTAGATTGAGAGCAGTACGAGGCCCTAAATTTGAAGATTATAGCCTGTAACAAGTCACAGAAAGTTTTTAACATTGCCCCTGTTAATCAGCACCAGGCAAACATGTGCAAGAAATAATACCCTCCCTTTATGCCCCCTACCTCCAACCTCCCCATCTTGCAAGCAAAAAACTGCAAGCGCCAACAGATCTGTTCTGGCTTGTTTTATTTCACTTTGTGCTTATTAAAATGCTGTGTTTGCAGTTTGTATTTCTTGGCATGCTGTTATTTCAAGGACATTTAAACAAGAACAGCATAAGCAACAGGCAGACTGAGAGAGGAGCTTGTTTCACTGCATTTTGGAAGAATCTTATGTAGACTTATTATCACCAATTGCATTATCTGTGCTATTTATTTGCTTTCTATTTACTTAATTTGAATGGTGAACACAAGCTCAGCTGTTTCCCTGGTTTTCTACTCATTTCCACTTTCAGTTTCTGAAGTATCAGCATGACAAATAGGGCAACAACCAAGTTAATCTACCAGAAGCAAATGTTTACAACAGAAAGAATTGTCTGCATGGATGTTTTAGCTATATAACACCAAAAAAAAAAATAATCTTTATTAAAAACAGGGTTTGTAATGTGTGACTTCACTTCCTACTTCTCCACAAAGCCAGAGCTTGGCATCCAAACTCACTAGTGTTGACTGAATACTGCTTCCATGGCTGGCCATTCCCTGGCTGATAGCTGCTCACTTATCCATGTGAGTATTTGACAGCACAGCATCAAAAAGTCCCTGCCGTCCTCAGTAGGTTGGTATCATCCAGAGCATTGCTGCAGGCATTTATGTTGCCTTGGCAAGGGCCCTTTTAAAAATCACTGCCAGTTCCCAAATAAGCTGTTCAGGAGTACTCAAATCAAGTTCTGTTACCTTCCATGTACAAGTTGTAGCTATGTCTGTACAAGTAAATTCAGTGTTCCCAGCTCCAGTCTGTGGCACTAAGTGCCCCATGACCGTATATTTAACCTTTCTTACCCACCAAAGAATGTGTCTATACCCAAGCTGCCTTCAGGAATGCTCCCTGGGTTAGGAGCTCTTTGGAAGATGCTCTTTGGCAGGAGCTATGCTAACAATTTAACAACCTTTTGCAATTGTTCAGCGATTTGAGCAAAATTGCTTAACAAGAGAACAAGCAAGTTATGTCTCCTGGGAAAGGTCCCTGTGGTTGTGTGCCTGGACTAGTAAACTGATGTCCGCATGTGGCTGCTCATTGAAGCTTGGCTTGTGAGTCCCAGCCTGAGTCAGCCTCGTGCTCCTTGGTCCTGGAGCTGAACATTAGTAGGCAGGCAGCATAAACTTGGTGTAATCCACAAACTGCATAAACTTCACCCCTTGCTCTGTCCATCAGTCAGCCCACCGTGGGACTCTATTTTGAAGGTCCTTAACAAATGAGCCCTTTTCATGAAGTACCAAACATACACAGTTCCTAGGCAACCCATAAAACTTTTTCCTGAAGTCAGGAACCAGAGTTCAATTTACTTCAGCGGTGCACAGATAGCATCACAGCTCTGCGGATGCTCTGCTTCCCTGAATACATTGGTGCCTTCATACGGTCAGGATTCAGGCTCCAGTTGGAAGACATCAATTTTAAGATAAGCAAATTCATCTTCTGTGAGCTGTGCAAGGCAGTTTTAGCTCTGCTTATCTGCTGAAACCAAGCTGAGATGAGAAGGCAAAATGCTTCCTTTCCCATAGCCCACCAATGATAACATTTTTCTTATCAGGTTCTTTTAGGAAAAATACACTATGCCTGTATATGATATTTGGATAGGAAACATTTTTTTTATGACTACTTCATTTCCATAGTTTATTTTCAACTTTTTTTTCTTTAAGCTCTGAGAATTTAGGAATTCTTCCCTCTTTGTCACTGGAAATAAACACCTATTCCACATGAGCTTGTGCTTCAGGAAGCAAAGATAAATCTACTATTCCCCTACACACTGGATATTGAATAGTGAAAGCACTCCCCTGTCAGTAGTAGAATCAATGATGAAATGTTTGACAAAGGTCAGTCAAAATTTTAATCCTATTACATGTAAAATCCAACATAATTCCAGGACAAGTGTCACTGTCTACCAAGAGCTCCCTCAACCTCACTGGAAGCCGTGGATGTCCTTCCTGTTCTTTACTGGGAAATACACGTTAGCCATCTTCTAACAGGAAAGCTGGAGTGACAGTTAATCACTCCACAGTGAACTTAATGTAGGTGAGTGTGAAAGTGCTAAAATAAGGCAACATGTTAATCGGAGGAGAGCTCTGACGTCCTCTTAAAAGCAGAACTGGGAATACTTTATACCAGATTGCCCAAATAGGTAGGGAAATGGGAAAACCAGTCAGAAATTATTAGGACTTGGTGAAATGAACCCAAGATATTTGGACAGTAAGCTGTCTACATCCTGAAGAAAAGAAAATCTTTTGTCAGACAATGACAAGATGATGTGTAAATGCAGAAAAGAAGGGATGATAAAGTTTGGGGTAGTATGTTCTTAAAGGCCAGATGAAAATCTTATCATGGCATGGGGTCTTGTATCAAAGGCTCAGACTGAAATCTGAGGATATGAATACAGTCCAGTCTGATGTCCTACCACTGATGCTGAGGAAGACATGGAAGAGCTGAACAAGAGGTTGCAGTTAGTCACAAACAAAATACCAACACATGCATGCTACCAATAACAGAAATCCTCAGTCTTAAACTGTCAGTCAGATGCTGGTAATCTGAAAGTTGTGAACACAAATTGTCAGTGAAAAGGGGGAAAATAAAACCCCTGTGACTTTCTCTTCTAGGAGGAAGCATTCTCATATCATAAAGTCACTGAGCTATCCCCTGCTGAGAAAACAAAGAGGTGAATCAAAATTGCCCAGGCTGCCATGTGGAGAATACCAAGGTAAAAGTGAGGAGCTGTGTTGTGCTGTATCAGACTGTGCCCAGCCATGGCAGTCATTTTGATGCCATCAGCAACCTCACAATGAAGTGATGGAGGACAGCAGAGGAGGCAGAATGTGGAGATCTGAAAGATGCAGTTGTCTAAAGCTTCCCATTGTGGAGTGAAACTGGGTGAAACCTGAAGGCATAAGACAAGAGTGTGCTAAGCAGCTTCAGAGAAATTCCTACAGGAAGAAATAAACAAGAAGGACCCCTGGCCTGGATTTGATGTTCTTTCATTTATTCAGGTCCATTAGCAGCCAAAATTGTCCTGCAGGCAGCACAGGCTCCTCTTCCTCACACTGCATCTCTAACAGGAGAAAATGACTTGCCAATTGTCTTAAGCTCATTAGCAGCATAATTTCATGTTTGACTTTCCTACTACTATGTCTGAAGCCCAAATCTTGGCTTTCCAGTCCCTGTGAACTAACTCTTCCTGTTGTAAGAAAACCCTTGGCAGTGTATTAAAGGGAAAAGATACCTTTGGAGATTACTTCTTCTCTTTTCTAATTCCAGGAACATTTTCCACTCATTCACCTTGAAGCTGATTCAAGCTAGGAGACCTGGTCCTGCAATCTGGTGGATGGCTTAAAAACTAACAGGTTGTAAGGTACTGCTTATCTTCTCTGGAGTATTCGAATTGCACATGACAAGCTCAGTGACACAAGGTTCACTAGTCTTGTTTTATATTTATGCCTGTCACCTACTCCCTCACTTAATCTAGTTCCAAAACACCTGCAACTGGTAGCACATTTTCCAAAACTAATTTAAAATAGCAAAAGTAGACGTTTCCCATGAGAATCCCCAGGAAGAAAAATGTAGGGTTTATCAGTATTAATTCTTAGCTGGCACTTCTTCCCAAGAATTATTGTTCCCCTAAGAAGTGGTTTTGAGGCAACTTTACAACATAACTTAAAACATGTTGCATATTACTCCATTCTCATACTTTTAATGAAAAGAGAAGACCAGCATCCAGCCAAAGCATAATTTGTACTTGTCTTGCTTACGGCTGTTTTATAGACTACAATCTTTGAAAGAAAGCGCAATCCTAGCTGGAAAGGACTAGGTCCAAGCACATATTTGTAGCTGAAAGCGAACAGTAAAAATTGATCCCTGATGTAGCTCTGCTATTGCAGCGTTAATGAACTTCAACCTAGAGAACCTTATCTTGGCCATGTTACTTTCCCAGTTGCCCCAAGTGATAGATGGTGCATGTCCACAGCTGCTGCACTGTAAGTAGAACAGCCACTCAGCCTGCAGTCACTGAAAAAGGTTAGGAATTAATACAAAAGGGAAAAAAAGTAATCAAGAACTAGCACCGGCATACAGTGCTGCTCCTCCTGGTGTGCTCTTCTGGCTTCTAGCAGTTGGCAGCACAGAGGTTTCTAGAGTCAAAGGATATATCTGCAGCTCTGTATTTATTAGCCTTGATAGCCTTTCTTCCATGAGTCTAACTGCTTTTTAACTAATTTAATCTTTTAGCCTTCACAGCATCCGGTGGTGTCCCACTGTTTAATGATGTGCTATGGGAGAAAAATACTTTCTCTTCATTGCTATAAGCCTGCTATTTGATAATTCCATCTGAAGCTTCCAAATTCTTGTGTTATGACAAAGTTCTAATAATTATTTCTTATTCACCTTCTTCATTCACTAAATGATTTTATAACCTTTTCAGTTTATCTTGTTTTTCCAGACTGTGAATCTTTTGCTCATCTTCTGTAGTGGAGAAGTTGTATCACACCTGTAGCCAGTTTTGTTGGCCCTTTCTGCACCATTTCAAATTCTACTATGCCATTTTTGAGAGCTGAGACTAGAACCACACACCAGATATTTAAGAGGGACTCTCACTGCAGGTTTATATAATGCATTGCTGAAGCTTTGCCCTTCCCCTCCTAATAAACCTAATAAAGGAGTTGATTTGTCTTTTCAAGGACTACTGAATCAATGTCTCAGGAGGCTGTTGTTTTAGAAACCTGGTACTAAGTCTCTGCACAGTGATTACCGAAATGGCCTCACATAGTCCTTGCTGCTTCACATACTTTATACTGCTTTGCATTTAAAAGAAAAGTCGCTGGAGCTGCTTTTCAGGTGCAAGCTTGCCAGCAGGAATTCATAATAGAGACTACCTGCCATACACAGCCAACGCACACGAAACAGGGTGCTGAAGGAGCAGACCAACCGCAGCAGGCAAGATGAGTAGCCCACCACAGGTTCAGGTTGTCTGGCATTCCCTGGCACAAGATCCTGCCTTTGTTTTCTTACGGCACTGCTAAAAGTGAGCAAGCCAAAATCTTCCCCCAGTGCCTACCTCAGGCTAGTTTAGTCTTGTTGGTAGTTGATTTCAGTTTGGGATTTTTGTGGTTTGGAGGGGGTTGTTTGGAATTATTTTGAATTGTTTCTCCCAGGCAAAACAGCTCCGCCAAAGAAGAGGCCAAGGAAGAGGCTAGGGAATGTACCTCTTATCCATATTTAAAATAAATAAGTTGTGTGATCTTTCATTTGGAAATTACTAATGTTAGCAGGATTTGAGAAAAAGACTGTATTCATGCAGTGCTTCGCTGGGTAGAATTCTGGCATCGCCACTGACATGCACCTAATTTTTAACAAACCCTTAGCCTGTGAGGAGTCCCAGTTTGCACGACCTTCGGAGATCTGAATGGTTAAAGTTGTAAAGAAACCCCTCTCCCTACGTTAATCATGCTTAGCTCCTGCAGGTTAAGCTAGGCCTAAGCAGCCATGGTGGCCCATCACTCCTGCAAACAGCAGGAACCTCAGCCTT